AAATTTCAAAAATAATTTTTATTGCATCAATATTTATTATAATATAAATATAATGTAAAAAATATATGCTTTAAAAATATTATTTTTAAATTAATAATTTAGATAAATTATCGGAAGAGAAAGCAAAAGAATTTATAATTTCATCAATATTTAATTGTTTAAATAAATTATTTTCCATTGATAAAATGGTTAAATTATTAAGAAATGGATCTTTCATGACACTACGAAATCTTGTTTTAATTAGTTTAATTTTACTCATGACCCTTTCGGCAGTACATGATGTAGTAGGAATAGTTAATAAATATTTATATAAAATTGTTAAATTTGGGAAAGCAGAAAAATTTATAAGCAGACGATAAGGTAAAATAAATGAATAGTTTCTCCAGTCTGAATCATTCATCTCAGAATTATTATCATCATCAGAAGAAGCTAAATAATGTATTAGTAAAAATATTTTAATTAAATAAATTTACAATTCTCAGAATCTGACAAATCTTCTTTAACCTCTAGGTCACGAGTAATAATTACGTCCACCGTTTTAGCCATTTTATAAATATTTCTAAACATCAACATTTCCTCAAAAACTTGACTTGTATTTAATTGATAAAATTCACAGATATCCCTGATATCATCTTTAACAATTGCCTTTTCCGCCATTCCCTTTGGGGTAAAAAATGATGTTTGACTCAAAAATTTTATCGATTCATCGTTAAATCTTTCACTAAACTGCATATCAAGTGCAGCATTAAACACACTGATTTTAAAGCTAAAATAACTGGTGAGTTTAGCCTAACCTTTGGAAGCATTAACGATGAAACTTAAATAATTCTTTAGTGTTTAGTTAATAGAGGTTTTAAGTTACTTCAATCGGTTTATTAACCGAAATTAAAATAAAAAAGTTATTAACAAAATAAACAAAGCAGCACATTAAAAACAAAAACTATAAGCCGGTTACTATGATTTAGTGCTGGAAATTGGAAAATTTAAATTACGTTGGTTAATAGCCCTGTGAAAAAAGAGTTATAAGCCAAATATATGACATAGCATTTCAAGCATAAAATTAACAAAATTTAGAAAGTACTAACAATATATATATATATATTATTGTTTAGTGCTCGATAATAGATAGAAGTTATTGCTAGAAGTAGTTTAGTAACCGAAATTAAAATATAAGTTATTGAGGAAAAAAATTCAAAAATAAATTTGAAAAATGGCGACACACCAAGACAAAAAATTATTTAAATACTCATCTGTTTTTGCTAATACGTAATGCTTCATCCAAACATTTAAATTCCGTAATTAGTTTGGTTAACCGCCTTATAAAAATAAATATAAAAGCTAAACATATTCAGCATTGTCTATTCATAATTAAACACTACATTTCGTAATTGGACAAGGAAAATGAGCTTAAAAGGATACTCTAAATCTATATTTTGCAATTTATATTATAATTCATATAAAATTATTATTTATTATAGAATTCTAATAAACAAATAAATAAATAAGCAAAAATATGTATCACGCATTCTTACGTAAAAAAAAACTCAACATTTTATTGAAATTATCAAACCAATTGATATACAGGTTTTGATGTTAAATGATTATTCATTAAAATTTAAATGGAAATATAATCAGTTTAAATTATTAGAAATTAACTAACCTTACATAGTTATGTGAGTACTAGTTATTTTACCTTCGGTGAAAATATATATCAGCATTGTGTTCACCATTATTACCAGGGTGCATTGCTTAAATTTTTGGGGTGGGTGGTTACAATTTTTATATATAATGTGTCATATTTGAGAGATCAGATGTAAACAAACCCGCTTCTAAAATATACATGCACAAGTTTATTCAATCTATAATACATAAATTCACTAGGTTGTTAATCATATAGAATTGATTGGGGAAATTATATTAATAATTGAGGCTATGGGTGTTAGGTAGTTAGCCTCTTCCAATATTATATTAACATAAACATATATATAATCATTATGACCATATCTAACTGTCGAATATAATAATTCAAAGTGAATAAATTAAATAGTATTCCTACATTACTACAACGTGACCTTTAGTACAATGGTAATCGTTTTATCTTTAGAAAATGGCATTATATTCAAAAACGTTATATCCAATTACAATTTTATGACCTGCGGTTAATTAGCTATAACCGTTTATCCAGTATTTATTAATAATTAATTGGTTAAACATTATGATTTATAAATAATTTAGCTACAGCCAGCCACTACTCAAAGACAAAAATTTTGCTAGCATAATATTAGAATAAATCTAGATTTTATTTCCTTTTAATTTTTTATAAACGGCTGTATATACAAAAATGTTAAATATAAGTATCCTCAGACTTAGAAATAATGGGCATAGTCCTTTATCGATTAATTAGTTAAAACAATTAAAAAAGCTAAACAGCTGATTGTAATTTATAAATACTATTGGGCTACTGACGCTACTCAAAAACAAATTAAATCAATGCATCAACCTGAATTTCCCCTTGATTTTTTTGAATTTGGACGATGATAATTTTTTCTGAAAGATTTTCGGGTTCGGTTTTCCGGTACGAGTGATGAATATGGATATTATCTTCAAGGATGGATATAAACTGATAAGTGATTGTATTTGTACTTTGAATTTAATTCATTGGATATTATCTTCAAGGATGGATATAAACTGATAAGTGATTGTATTTGTACTTTGAATTCAATTTAATCATATATTTATTTCTTATTTTAGGTTTTAAATTATATTTCTAGAGTACCTTCCCCGTCCCTTTTTTTAAAAATAAATAGGGCCGTAGGTTTTGGGTGTGGGCTGTTCTCTTGGTCCTCCCTATCTGTTCCAGCCCACAGACGTTTAAATAATAGTTTATGAACTATTATGCGTACAAGTACGTGCGGCTTGCCCACAAACGTGTGAAGGGTTCCTCATATTTTACTTTATACCTAACTTAAATCTTCCAATTAGATGGAAATGAGGAAAACCTAGCGTAGCTCTGTTGTACCTACAACGTTGAGAGGGCGTATGCGCTTTATTCCGTATTCCGTAATTTCCCCTTTAAAAATTACCTTTATCAGTTCGGTATTTAAATTTCAAAATTTATGGACAATCTTATATTTTTTATTATTTTTATATTTATTCCAATAATTATTTTGATTACATTATTCAAAACTTTACAATATAAGAGGTTTTAAATATACATATATTTTATATATAAAATTATTATCCAAAGAAATCCTTTGAAAAAAGTGCAATGTTGGTTTTGTTCCAAAATACATTTTGTGTTAAAAGAATTTAAAAATTCATGGGAATGCCCATTCTGTGAGCAGTATAATGGGTTCAATGAAGTAAATATAATTTAAATATTTATTTATTAATCACAAATATTAATTTTTTATTCTAAGTATTATATTTATCAAATATAAAATAAATTTGTTGATTACATTTATTTCCATTCAAATTATTAGCTTGATGTATTAATTTGAATGTTTTAAAAAGTTGCCAATATATAATATTTTACAATATGGATATTTTTATATATCTTCATTTTGAAATTATTTTACTGTGGGTGATTTGGGTTGGTAAACTCTTAACTCCTAAAGGCTAACATTTAGATTTATGACTGCCATTGATAAAGGTTTAATCAGGGTTCATATCTATTCTTTTAAAAAAAATCAAATTAAGTGATAGTTTTAAAATACTTGTCTTATCAAATATTTTAATTGTTTTAGGCTTTTTTATGATTGTGTAAATAATTATATTTGATTTATTTATAAAACTTTAAAAATATCAAAATATTTTATAAGAAAATATAACTAAAAATATGATGATTGTTTCTTATAATATTTGCAACTAGAAAAGAAATTTAAAATATTCAACTAGTCACATTCAGCTTAAACATAGCGTATTTAAAATAAAGCAACAAAATTTTTGGAAGCAAAATAAAAACAAATTATCATCATTTGTGATAATGCACCAAATATTGCCAATGTTGTGAGAAAAAGAAATATTCAAAATTTCTTGTTCTGCCCATAATTTACAGTAGTCTAGTCAAAAATGAATTTAATATTTTATCTATTTCAAATAATTTGGCTTAAATGGTGATTTTAGTATTATTAAACAGCTCGATTTTTAAAAACAACTAATCTCAAAATTTTACCCCCAAAAAAATGTTACTGCAAACCTTGAGATTTTGTTAATAGATGTCCAAACCTTTCTGCCATCTAAGAGCTACATCTCCGCACTTGCATAATATTTTTTGGTCAAAATATTGAGTTGACTGTTTTTAAAAATCGAACCGTTTAACACTAATTAAATTGTTTCCAATATAATTTAGATCAAATAATAATGAATGTGAATAATAAATGCATATAAGTAGTGAATTATTCATTTTGTTTGAATTAAGAGTTATTCAATTTGAATCATATGTTAATTTAAATATTTCAAATTTTCAAAATTTTTTGATCTTTACTGCTGAAAGACTTTTCTTATTAAAATAATTCTTTTATCAAAACATTGCATAAAGAGGGATCAGTAAGAAAAAAACACCCTTTGCCTCAAAAAAATTTGCTTGACATTACAAATTAAATTCAGTGTAGTTTAAAACGACCCAATATGGGTCCG